TAAATTATTCATATTTCTTAATTTTAAAAAATTATTGCTTCATTGCCCTATTGTTAACTTATTGTTATATGTGTCCCACGTATAATTTTTTTAATATTTTTTATTATAAAATATTGGTTGTGAGCCCTACGTTATTTTTTTAATTGGTAAGGGTTAATTTTGTCTCTAAAGCATACATAAAAAGTCACAAATGACCCTAAACTTAACTTAAGATCAATTTTATCTCTCAACCATTAAGATTTTTAAATTCATTACCTTGTCATTTTCTCAATTTATTTTCTCTATTAATAGGACCCATTTTAAAATTTTTTAATTTTTTTATTGTAAAATATTTAAGTGGGTCCCACCAATTATTTTTTAATATTTTTTCATTCTCTCTCCCCTATCCCTTCCTCTCTCCTTCAATCATTTAAATCAAAGTCGTGTATCATCTAACAAGTTGAGGAAATATAGTGCTTGGAGGCTAGCTTTACATTACAAAATACCACTCAAGTAGCTCGAGCCCAACGATTGATCTATGGTTGAGCATACATGTTACACTTCGAGCATGGTTCAACGCAATCGTAGTGTTGATCCCCTCACCTACATAGCCTATTCTTGTATATTTGAACGTAGCATGGTTGTTTTGCAAATCTAGCTCTTTCTGGTTTGAAGATTGAATCAGTGGTCAGCTTGTACTTAAATGCTATCATTCCAACATCCTTCATTCCCTCTCTCTTCCCATCGACAACAATTTTGACCACTCTTATATGACCTTGATTCAAACGATTGAAGGAGAGAAGGGGGAGAGAAGGAGAAAAAACATGAAAAAATGATTGGTGGAAAAAAAATTAAAATGGATCCCATAAATAGAAAAAATAGCAAGGTGATAAATTTAAAAATCTTAATAGTTGAGGAATAAAATTAATCCTAGGTTGAGTTTAGGATCATTTTTTACCTTTCATGTATACTTTAGCAATAAAATCAACCCTTAACCCATTAAAAAAATAATATGAGGCCCACAAGAAATATTTTATAATAAAAATATTAAAAAATTTATATATGGGGCCCACATAACAGTAAGTTAATGTTAGGGTAGCAGAGTAATATTTTTTTAAAGTTAAAAGATATAAATAACCTATAATTAAATTTAATATCATTTGTGACCCTTCGTGTCCATCTGTTGCTTAACAGTGAAAAGTACAAAAAAATGAGCATACTTTTTTTTAAATCAAACAAAATATTGAGTATATAGCCAGTTTGTTTAGAATTAATTGTAATACTTGAATTTTTAGTGAACATTAAATTAATAACAAATCTTGGTTGAAAAAAATATTTTTAGCTTTTTTCACTAGGAATTCTAGAGGGTAAAAGAGTAATATGCCCTATAAATTATAGGTTGAGTGACTTTAAAAATCTTAAACTCATTTATTATGTAATTAATTTTTTAAATTTTAAATTCATAAGAACCTCTCCTATAATGTTAAGTAGGGGTAGAAATATGTTAGGCTGAATTAGATTTTGATTAAACAGGCCTGAGCTTGATTTAAAACTTATATAAGGCTTTTTTTATGAATCAAGTTTTAACTTATCTAAAACCTAATCTGATTTAAAAACTTATTTAAAATTCTACTTAAAAGTAAGTATTTTAAATATGCTCATATTTTAGTTTTGAGTTATTTTAGAACTATTATAATATACAACATATAACCTAATTCATCAATTACAATATATAATAATTGAAAAGATTTTTCAAATACAATATAATATAACAATAAAGTTATTATATTAAAATTATTATATAGTTCATTATGATTGAAAAGTGAAAACATAACAAGAATTAAAAAATGAATAGATTAATTAAAAATTAAATGATGAAATTAATGTATTTGCAATTGTGTGTGCATGCGCATATGTGTGAATACCTATTCAGTTAAGTAGGCCTAATTAAATGCCTGAATCTAGCTTGAGCCTATTTAATAAATAAACTGTGTTGAACCTAAAATAGGTCAAGTTATATAGGAACCTAGTCTATTCCTACCCTCAATGTTCAGTAGAGGATAATATCTATTAATTTATGATAGCAAGGCTATCTAGTTTATCCATGTGTCAAGTAAAAACATGTGCCACATGTCTAGATCGATGGGTCTTACTATTATAAAGTAATGAATATTATCCTCTAGTTAATGTCAAGAATAAGTTGATAGGAGTTCATAACAAAAATTGTACTCCCTCCACTCAAAAATGTAATGTATTTTTAACTGAATTTCATCCTCAATTAAGTAACTACCTACTTTTTGACTAATTCTATTTTTTCATATTTACCCCTACTAAATACCTTACAATAAATATAAAGTCATTATTAATAGAGGCATTTTTTTTAAAAAAAAGATAATGATTACATCTTAAAATATTAAAAATGTCTTATATTTTAAATATTCAACTCCTAAAAAAATGCTTTATATTTTGAATGAAGGGAGTATAATAAATAAATTTGTGATCTCTAGTGTTATTAAATAATCCATCTGTTAAAAAATATAAAGTATTTTTAATTAAATCTCACATCTAATAAAGTAATTACTTTTTTAAAATAATCCTATCTTTTCATATTTACTCCTATTTAATAGGATATTATATCCTAAAATAAATATAAAATAATTTATTTAATAGGAATATTTTTTTAAAAAATAATGATTATACCTTGAAAGATTAAAAATCTTATACTTTTTAACATTCAAACCTTCAAAAAATGCCTTACATTTTTAAATAGAGAGAGGATGCAGTTTAGAGGTAAATTGTTCTTTTCTTCTATTCTAAATAGAATTGTAATTTAAGTTAAACTCAACGAGCCAGCCCAAAAACTTTAGTGTTGAGGCCCAAAAATATTTTTAATGTTCGAGCCTATCTAGGTTGACTTAAATGAGCCTAAATCTGATCTAGTTTGGGCTTCCTAGATACTCGAATTTAAAAAATATGTTTTTAAAAATATATAAAATATAATAAATATTAATTAACTCTTTAAATTTTATGTTATTTTGTACTAAAATATCATATATTTGAGTGTATTGCTATAGTTATTTTTTCAAAACAAGTAAAAAAAATTTATTTTCATATTTTTATTATTTTTAATCAATAAAATATCTCAAAATAATATTTATTGATTTTTATGCTTTAAGACCCATTTATGTTTTAATTTTTTTAGTATTATATATAGTTTGAGTATCCAAAAAATATACTTTATATTTTTTATAAAATGAGAAAATTGATTTAAAAGAAAAAGTTTAAATTAAAAATAATTTGAAAAATAAATCTGGGCATGTATGAATTATCGACTATAAAACAATATTTTTGGATAATTATGTGATCACCATCTATGCTAGACTTGATTAAAAATTAAGAATAAATTAAAAAAAATATCTCTTGTATGTAGGAATTAGACAATATAAGAAATTAAATAAAAAATCTCACAAGTTCACAGTCAATGATTTTTAATAGGATATTTGGTTTGCTATGCTCTTTAGACAAGGATGGATAAGCAGAACATTAGAGTGTTCCAAGGTAAGGCTACCTGGTTGTAGGCTACCTTTGCTAAAGTGCATGCTATGGTAAGATGGTCAAATTTGAGAGAGTTGCCTAGAGATCAGTACATGAGTATGAGTAGGTGGAAAGCACCTAAAAATAAGGGTTATAAAATTTAACACTAACACAGCCTATGGTAGAGATAGTAGTCTTTTAGGTTGTGGTGGGATTGCCCGTGACCACATTAGAAGCACGTTAGGAGAGTTTCTTTATCATAACAGGCAGGGAAGCAATCTAAATATAAAACTTTGAGGAATGCTCTAGGCGCTTAAGAGAGTTTGGGATTTGAATTTGAGGAAGGCTAAAGTTGAAATTATTATATGAAGGCTGTAGAGGTGCTGGAAGGCAGATTTGGATCACCATCCTGATCATGATCTCATTATTGAGATCAGAAGCATGCTGAATAGAGATTAGAATGCGAATATTATATGATGCAGCAAATATGTGAATGTGATTGCGGACATACTTGCCAAGAAAGCTCTCAAGCAAGTGCATGGCGTTGTATTCTTTTCGAATTCTTTGGATTGCATTATTGAATTTTTAGTTTCCCACACAAGTCTTGGACCCATCGTTGAATTTGTTATGGAAAAAAAAGTTAAAAAAAAAAATAGTTCTTAAAAAAACACTATTTTACTCGTGATTTAATTATTTTTTATATATATAATAATAATTTTTTCTCATATTTTTAAAATAAAAAATATAATTTACTCAAAAGTTATTAAAAACTTTGAATTAATTAAGGCCATAATTTTAAGTTAGTTGTTTAACTATAATTAAATTAAGATTAACTTGATCATAATTAAAATATAAAAATATTTATGTACGACCATGGTAAGAGAAATATTTAAATAACTAAAACATTAATTTACAAGTAAAAAAATATTCATAAATAAATTACACATAAGATAGCAAAATAATAATAAAATTATTTAAATATAAAATTGATAAGTTATTATTATTTATTTTTTAAAGTCAAAATAATATTTTATATTTAATAGAGTTAAATTAGTTCAAAAAACAAAATTTTTTTATAAAAGTTATGAATATTTCGGTGGCCTGAATAAATTGAAAGTTTAAAGGTGTTAAGGCTGGTTTAATTATATAAATTTTTTATATAAAATAAAGTACTATATATCTAATTCAAACAAGACTGACTTGTATTAAACTTGGTATGAGTAAGCCTAACTTGTCGAAATTATTGGCCCTAGTGCTGAATTGCTTATTAAAATATTTTATTCAATAACAAAATCTTTTTTAATTTTTTTTTTAAAAATTAGCCGTATAACTCGTGTGTTTAGTGCTCGTATTTACTAATTTTTAGATTTTACTTTCAGAGGTGCCCAACGGTCAGTCATAGTCACGCGCTCTCCTACCTCGCGTGGCTTTTACTTTTTGATGATATCAAAGCTCAGCACCAGCCTTCATGCACAGAGAGGCTCAGTCTCTCATGGCCTATATCTCACCACCACCTATAGCTTCCACTTCTCCAACCTCTTCCTCTGACGTTTGCCTTTCCTCTTCCTGCTTTCTCTAACTTTCCTTCTCTCTCTCCTTTTCTGCAATTCCTTGTTTGCTTTCGGCTTTTGTGATAGTACCACTCCTTCAGTCTCTTGCTCCCAACCTTTTCAGACCATTATTTGATTACGTCTTCGCCTCTCTCTTTTCCACCCTCCAGTTCAGCTAATCCTTCTTGGTTTCCCATTCTCTCTCTCTGCTTGTCCCCTTCGAGGTATTTAGAAATGAAGGTATGATTCTCCCACTTTTTCCATTTTCTCCCATCTTCCTTTTTTGTGTTTCTTTCCATGACGAGAATACATCACTTATGAACCATGATTCCATTAGGTTCTGATTCTCCACGAACTTTTATTTATTAGAATATTAGGGGCGTGTATCTGACATGAATCTGGGTTTTCCCACTTCAAATTCGGGTTTTGATTTCACGTCGGGTTGTCTCTTTGAGATTGTTTAGATTTCACTTCTTTATTTTTTTCCTTAGCGTCGTGAAGATAATTTTTGGTTTTGAGTTCCCCGCCCCCTTTGTTTGATAAGTTTAGATTTTGCATGTTATTCTGTAAAATTCTTGAACCGCTGAACATGGTTCCCTGAAGATTATTTGAATCCGAGCTGAATTACTCTCTGATTTATGCTTACAGAAGGTTGTGCTCAAGTTAGATTTGCATGATGACAAGGCGAAGCAGAAGGCCCTGAAAACAGTATCAACACTTTCAGGTATCGTATCATTGTTTATTCATTACGTCTCGTTTCCACCAAACTCTTTGCTTAAAAAGAATGAAAACCTTCCCTTGTATCCATCTTGCAAAATGAATCAGAGAAAGTAAGATGAACCCAGACTCAGTTTTTTCAGAATTTCAACCATCACGTGATGTAATATGGCAATTATATCAAATGAATGAACCAGAGTCTCACTTCATGCACTTATCCAACCAATTAATTATTGTTATTGTTGGCATGAGGTCACAGGTGGGGCAGGGAAATCAAATTTAAGAGTCCTCATCTTTCAATGAGATGAAGGTGTTTAATTTGTTAGCATGTCAACATCTTGCTCTCGGGTTCCTTTAAAATATGGTGAGATGGGGTTTCGTATTTTTTAAGGAACTTGGAGAATCAGGAGCGAGAGCCTTTATGGTTTGCGTCTTACTTCATTTTTTCACATTTCGACATACAGTACTCAATTAGATCATGTACGTACCACGAGTCAGCATTTATAGATCTTCAAATTCACATTTAAAGGTGTAGTCGGCTATGTGTAGTTGTAGTACATATCTCTAGTTAAATGAAGCAAGAAGATGATTTTGGTGCCTGTCCTTGATGTTGTTTCCGAAGTTATTTTTCAAAGCATGAAAACTCTGCACTATGAACTCCGGCAATCTTGTAGGGATAGATGCCATCTCCATGGAAATGAAGGATAGGACACTAACAGTGATAGGAACAGTGGATCCGGTTCATGTGGTGAGCAAATTACGCAAATATTGGCAGACAGATATAGTTTCAGTGGGACCAGTAAAGGAGCCAGAGAAGAAAGAAGAAGCAAAGAAGGAGGAAGGCAAGAAGGAGGAGGAAGCAAAGAAGGAGGAGCCCAAGAAAGAAGAAGGCAAGCCTGAGGAAGATCAGAAGAAAGAAGAGAAAAAGGAGGAGAAGAAAGAAGAAGAGAAGAAGAAAGAGCCAGTTCCAGTTCCAGACCCTATTCTAGAGCTGGTCAGGGCTTACAGGGCTTATAACCCCCAGATGACAACATATTATTATGTCCAAAGCATGGAAGAGAATCCCAATGCTTGTGCCATTTGCTGATGATTATCAAGCTGTCCAAGCATGAGAGAGAGATCAACTTTCTCTATTTGGTAATGGATTCAAACCTGTCAAGCCTGTAGGAGGTTACAGCCAAGAACATAGGTACTCTTCTGTATAATAATATGGTGATGCTTCAGCTGAGTTGTTTTGAGACAATATTGGTAATATGTAGGAGAAATTGAATAAGATTTTTGATGGGATTCGTTTTTGAACATGACTGTAGTTCATACTCGTCTCCTGCAACGGTTACTTGAGTGCATCACCTGCTAGTTAGTCCAGTTATTCATCTCATATCTGTTTGGACATTCAGAAAAATACAGGGTAAAAATGTGATAACACTCCTTTACTGTCCGGGGGAATTTTTTCTGAACGCAATTATGTTTCAAACTTTTTTCCTGTAATAATTACCTGGCTTGAAGGGATGACCTACTACTGAACTCGGTAATTCATGTGAATGGGTGATGAAAAAATACGGGGTGAAAAAGTGAGAAAAATAGTTGCTTGAATGGACATCACCTACTGGTAAACACAGTAATTTTAATTTATGTGCTTGGATGGTGAGGAAAAAGTGTGCATATTTTGTATCAGGGTCAGATCACAGACGGGGCAGAAGTACTGATCTAATCTTTACTAGAGCATCTCCCACCACTTGAAACAAAAAGAAAATGATTTCTCTGATTCTGTGGTTCTTGTCTGGTCCTTCAGCATGTCCTCATGTGGGACATGGTGGTGAGAAAAACATAGGACTCCATCTTTGAGGTTGAAATTAAACTTTTTCTTTTTGCAGCTGTGTGTGATCCCCCTTCACAATGTGGAGTTAAAATAACTTGAAAGCCCCTCATGGCCTGGATTCATCTTTACTCTGAGTGATGTAACATGATGTGTCTGTATGCTTCATTTACAACTAATAATAGGAATAATAATCAGATGTTTAACTTAGGTTTTGTTAAGAAAGGGACATGGTGGACTTTACACACCAAATGTACTCAAAACTCTTCATTTTCTCTTTTATTTATTTATTTAATGGTCTTGATGAGCTTGACAGCATCTAGCTCTTTGAGAAGCGGGTAGCACATGGAGTTTTCTGCATGGAGAATCAGAGGTTGTTTTATTATCTCCATGTTGTGATCAATCAAATTTATCAGCCAGATCCACACTTCGCTTTTTTCTTAATAATACCTAGTGTCAGTGGGTTACTTTTAAATTAAAGTAATGTAATCTCCTGTTAAACCACCTAAAAAAAAGGCAAATGCGTCTTACCTATAATTTACTTTTTTGTTTTTTAATGCTTCGTCTTGAGAGACAAAGTTACCTGCTTAACTTTATGAGATTGATTATATCCAAATATTTAGATATTAAAAATTTAGGATAAAAAACTTCAAAAATTTCAAAGGGCTACAATTATTACCAATTTCCCACAAAATTATAAAAAAATACAAGTTACTGGTTAATTTTTCTAATTTTAAAATAACTCAAAATGTTTGCAATAAACTCTGTATAATTCAATAAATTACTCTGTATTATTATTATTATTTTTAATTCACAATTTTGTAAGAGTTTAGTTGGCAGGTCATATTTGCTTCTGATTTCATCAATCCACATGTTGGCTCCGTTGTCACTGTTTTGTACTACATGCACGCGGAAATGCAAAAGCATGTGATTAATTAATGTTAATTAATTATTTAATCACTAATGCTTAGCATAGGAACTGTGTCTGGACTTTGGAGGGCCTCCCATCCACAGATGCTCTCTTTGTAATTATTTATTACTGTGATGGGTTATAATTTTATTTTGGGTCTATCTTTTGTCTAACATTGGGCATATTTAATTTTTTATTAAATTTTTAATGCGTACTTTGAAATAATATTTGTAAACAAAAAAATGAAATCCATTTGTATTCCATTCATCTAGTCTTATATATATAAACACGTAACAAAATATTACTATTCATTCTACAGTAGTCATTTTCATCCCTTATTCTTGTGTGGGTTCAAATTCAAATTTTTTCTTTTTATCAAATATCAAAAAAATCCTTTTGAGGATTGTGAACACAAAACAAAGGCACACACATATTTTGTACTTTTAAGTTTTAACATTTACTTCTGGCGCATAAATCAATCAGGCCTTTTTTTGTTTTTAATCTCCTTGCAGAATTATTAGAGGGATTTAAAAACATTTTTGGCGTGCATAATGTCAGATATAAAAATAACAAAAAATATAAACAAGATATGTTATACATTGTCAGTTAAGAATATAATAAAAACTGACGAAAGGAAATAGAGAATACATAGTGTGTTGTATTATCTTTTTTTTTTTTTTTGGTTATGGTGATTTGAAACGCGTGCCGCAGCACAAAGCATGCTTAGAGGAAGATTACAACTGATAATCATATAATTAAGAAATCGCACTCGTTGGTGATGACATGTGGGGTTGATTAGGCGTTTTGGCCGGTGAGATGATATTTGATCCTTCCAAAATTGTTGACACGGCCCATACCCCACACACACAACGCCTAATCAACTTGGAATTGTTATGCCGCGAAATAATCATGAAGAATCTCATTAAAGGATCTAAGTAGTAACTTATTTTTTAATGGGTGTTAAAAAATTTTAAAACTTCAATTCTGTCTTTAAAGATTAAATTAAAATAAGTTAAATATAGAAAAAATTAAAATACTCTCAATTCAAATATTTTAAAAAAAATCACTAGCTACTATTATTGGAGCACCACCGCCGGTGGCCAAAGCCTTGCCGGCGACAACAATCATTGGAGCTTTGACTGCTAGCTGGACCTCCATCACAGTCAACGGCAGTCCACCCGATGGCTGGAGCTTCAACAACGGAGATTCAGTGGCTATTATCGCTGACAAGGCTCTGGTCACTGGCGATGATACTTTTAGCAATAGTGATTGATGGTTTTTTTAAATATTTGAATTAAGAATATTTTAATCTTTTATATATGTTGAGGTTTTCAAATTTTTTAAGACCTACCAAAAAATAAGTTGCTACTCAGTTTCTTCAATAAAATTCTCCCAAGTAACTAACCCAATGCAGCAAAAAATGACACTTCCAATCAAGTAACATGTATCGCTATAATACCTTAGGATTTTGAAATTTTTAAACCTTAATTTAAAAGAGAGTCTTCTTGATGTAGAATGGGGAGGGAAAATAGAAAAGACAAGAGAAAAGAGTTGGAAAACAGCAGATAGAAAGATAATAGAGACACAAGAGAGAAACTCAAAGAAAGGTAAATCAATATTGAATACTGTTCATTCAAAAGGTATATAAAACAAATGTATTAAGGCTCTATTTGCAGGCTTTAATCTAACCCTAAAAATAAAAATATTAAAAGCATAATATTTTATAAATTGTAATAATTAGATGAAAATATTCTAAAATAATCTAAAGGATAACCTAATAATCTAAAAGGTTACATTTATTAAAATCAAATATTAAGATCATTCTAATAAAATAAGTATCCCATCACTTCTATTCCCATTTTTTTTAAATTCCCAATAATATATTTCGGTAAAAATAAAAAATGCATGTTTGTATGAAATCGAACTGATTACGAGCTATACGTTATTCGGAGCTTGAATTGAACAACACTAGCCGGAACTTACGAATAAAATGACTTTACAAACTTTACATTATATATGGTGTGGTTTTGTATATATTTCGTATTACATATTGATAACGTTTGAATGGATAGAATTTAGATTTAAAATCATGCATTCCAAATTTTATATTTAAAATTTTTTATTTTGATAGTTTTAAAACAAATCTAATAAAGAAAAAAGATGAATTGAAATACTTAATTGACATTATTTGAAAGTGATGAATTTATTTTTGTTTTTTAACTGATAAGAGACCACAACAAGATATGATCAATGATATAAGAGTTATAGAGACATTAATAGTAAAAACATAAGAAGAATGAGATATTTTAAATGACTAAAATTTTATATGATTAGAATATAGAGAGAATTTAAAATTATAAAAAAATATAATAAGAAATGGATTCTGCAAAATTTTATGCATCCAAATAAAAAATTTAATTTAAATCTAAATTTAAATTTAAATTCGCATAAATCGGCCAGTAGATTTTTCTCCTCTCTTATTTTTTTCTTTGAATTCATCTTTACTTATCTCATCATGTTTAATCATTAGTTTCCCAACACAATATATGGGACAAAATTCGAGTTATAATGATAAACTTTCGAGTATGATATTTAAAAAAGCTTTAATTATCAAATAAATTTTAATGTATTTATATGAAAATAAATTGATGCGGTATAAAGTTTAAGAGAGAGGCCTCATTATTCTCGAATTATAAATAATGCAGTTTGATTTGTTATTAGCTTTATAAATATAAGTAATTTAAAAAAATTATACATAAAAAATAAAATCTAAGGTTATATTTATTTTGAATTATTTAGAATAATTTAAAATTTAAAGTCTTTTATTGTAAGTACATTTCATTTATAATTCATGGTTATAACTCTTTAAAATTAAAATAAAGAAAACCAGAGCACCTAAAAATACTAGTTTGTTAGTTTAGGATGAGGATAATTGTTAAAGTAGAACTTTAATGGGCTGGCCCATTTGTGATTAGACTATTAAACTAATCGGCCTTATTCAGATGAGTGGGTTGAAATTACGTAGAATAAAGTAGAGTTTTCATATTTGTTTAATTTCCGTTCTTTTTGTATTAGAAAAAGTGGGATGAAATGTGGGGAAAATATGAATAAAGACTTCTTAATGAGATTTATTTTAAATCAAAGTCCATAAATTTTTAAAATATCAATGCAGTTCAGAGTCCTGACTTGATATTAAATTTTTGATAGAAATGACAAAATTACCTTTCATTTAAATTGAGATTATAATTGTTCTATTTTATTTGTTCATTTATTTATAAAATGTTATTCATTACCTACTTCACTTAATGTCATTCTAATTATTTAAATTATTTTAAGCCAACTTGATGGTTAGTAAAATGAAATTAAATGAAAATAAAATAATGAACAATAATCTGTAAGTAAATGAATAAATAAAGTATAACAGTTTTAATGTTAATATAAATGAGGGATAATTTTATTATTTTTTTTAAAATTTAATATTAAATTAAGACCTTTGGACTGTAATGATATTTTAGAAGTTTAAAGACTTTGATTCAAAATAAATTTGATCAATGGGTCATTATTAATATTTTCCTTAAGATGTGGGTAAAGGTCGAAAGTTTTTTTTGGTGTAAAAAGGTCGAAAGTTTTATCATTATTCCTAATGTTTAAATATATAGAAATGGGAACCATTAAATCAGTAATGATTTATTATTCCATCATGATTAAATCAAAATCATGAATATAATATAAATAGAAAAACATAATTAGTAATCTCTATAATTTTATCAGGTCTTGTTTTTAATTTCTATAATATGT